ACACAATAAACAATATTTGGTTAAAATTGAATCAACGATAAAATCAAATCAAATTGAATCAACGATAAAATCAAATCGATATAATTATTAGCAAATTAAATAAAACACTGATCATAGATTCATCAATCATATCATTTAGTAAATCATAAATTTAATAATGTTAACTCATTCACACATCTATGCATGCCATTCAATCACATATCATTCAATATAATTTGTAATTGTATCAATCAACTATGCACTGAAGATAAATTAAAACTAAATACTTTGGATATAAAATTCTATCATTGGATCTTTTAGACAGATCATTATACTCTTTCCTAATTAATCAAGCTTAAAAACTCAATATACGTATAAATGCATATAAATCAATCAAACATGCAAATAATAAAATCTATACTATCTAACTTCTATGCTACTTAGAATCAATCCTACTACCTAAAGCAATTATAACGCCCCAAAGCTAAATTTGGAAGAATCATCTGCTTTTATTTCTTAATTAATTTATCAAATTCACTAAATATCTATCATTTTAAATAAATCAGGCAAAAATAAATATAATCATATACACCAAAATATTTTTATATTCATTCCTTCAAAATGCAATTTATAATAGCCAGGAGATTTTAACAATATCAATATATTCTTTTTAAAGCTCGTAACTACAAAAGAATAGAATAAAATATATAAATAAAAAAAATATGAAAATACTGATCATCCTCGCTCCATACTTACAATAAATAAAAATCATATAATGAGTTTATAAATCTCAAAAGATTATCAAAATTTTATCACTATATTTCATGCAAGACAAAATAATTAATATGTATGCTCTAGTTCCCATCAATATCAATCAATCAATAAGCTATGCAATTAATATCAATCATAGTAAAAATCAATATGATTAATAAAATAATAGTATCTCAGTAAGCAAAAGGCATATATTAATCTATAAGAAAATTCATAAAAAATATATAAATTTATAATAGGTGTTGCAGTGAAATAAACATCAATTATCCATCAGCTATATTCATGTTGATGATTCTGTTATATGCTTCTATCAATCATTATGTCATTTATAATTATCTCCCAGTATGTTATATCAATATATTTATCAATGCATTATATTTACACAATTATCATTATCTAACAAGATACCTATAAAATGCTATGTCATGATATATTAGTCTCAATGTTTAAATCAGTCCTATTTATGTTATCATATAAATGCAAACATTGATATAATTATGAATAACAATACAAGACATCCAACTTTAAAGTGATGTTTTTAGCGTTCCATCTGTTATATCAATCCTTCATTCTCTGTCAATCAAATCTTTCAATTATTTTTATTAATCATTTTCTTTAATAGGGGACTTTCAATGAATCAATAAAGAGTTGTCACTCTCTACCCGTCGCCATAATCAATCAATTGGTTATAGGCTAATATTTAAGATTACATTGCAAATCTTTATTTTAAGAAAAGTCCGTTGGCCCACCACCCTCTTATATATGGTATTATATTTTTAATAGTCAACCCGTGTTAATTATAATGTTCATAGTTAGTCTTCCTTGCATGTAAATGTCACATTTATCATATATTTATTATATCATTTTTTCAAAGCAAGTTTATATCATATATGAATGCAATAATCTATGAAATACAAAAAATCAATATATTATTCATCAATTTCAGAAAATGTTAGCTATTAGTTTACTAGGTGAAATTTAATATATTCATGTCAATATGTGCAGAATGATTAAAATTATAACATACTAAAAGTTGCACGGTGGATGTTTACTAAAAATTGAGATATCATAACTTTTGTAAGTCTTAACCGATTAAAATTAAGAAAATGCAAAATAAGTAAAATCACTAAAATCAGAGATAGGATAACAGTAGTTTTGAGATGAGCAATTTTTTCCAACTGGACTGACTGACAAAATTTACTCTAAGACCTCCAAACTCTAACTTCTTTCTTCTCTCCTTTTTTTTTCTCCCTTTATTTTCCTTTTCTCCTTACCTATTTAAAATGAAATATGGATGAAAATGGCCATTTGTAAAGTTCTGTTTAGTGAAAATAATTTTTTATGATAAAATATATTAAGAGTATAAATATAATTATGTTAATTGTTTAGTTTTTAACATAAAATTCTTGTAAATTCTTTTATATCTTCAAATCTTGATATTAAAAAATTATAAAAAAAATAGTCATAAATTAGCCCAGCATGTCTAGAAGGCTATGGTGAAATTGATTTGTAAAATAGACAACTAACAGATCAACATGTACTAATTTCTTGAGTAATTATAAATAAATAGGGAATTCTTTGTTTTGATATCTACATTGCCAATAAAATTAGGAAGAAAAATTATAAGCACAATTATATCCATGCTATGGCAAAAATGTTTGCAAATTGGACTTTTAATGACTTCTGAAATATTATTTGATTGCTGTAAGTCAAAATATTGGCTATTACACAACAATCCAGATGCATTCCTCTATTTCAACCATACAACTTGAATTCTACTAATAATATCCTCATGTATATCACCATCACTTTGAAGTTTGAACAATAGACGGATATTTAAATCATGTACTCTTTTTAATGACTTTATCACCCAAGTCACAATCCCGCCACTAGATCTATTACCACTAAAAATACATTCCATGTACTCGGTTTTAAATCTACTCAAAAGAAAACTTATAACTCTAAGGTTGACTTCTATAAGGATTCTCCAAGGTGGTTCTCTTGGTACTTTGTCATATGCTTTATCTAAATAAATAAATAAATATCATATTTATATCCTCCTTATTCTCTCTATATACTTCTCCATCAAACCTCCCAATAAATGTTTAGTTTTCATAGTACACCTACCCAGCATTAATCCAAATTGATTTTGAGAAACATTAGTATCACGTCGTAACCTATTCTCATTTACTCTCTTCATAGTTTTAATGTATGACACATAAACTTAATTCCTCTGTAGTTTGCACAATCTTGTGCATTACTTCTATCTTAAAAACCATGAACCAACACACTTCTTTTCCATTCATCTGATATATTTTTAGTTTTTAAAATAATATCAAAAAATTAAGTAAGCCAAAAAAAAACATTTTATCTTCTAAGCATTTTCACGTCTTTATTGAAATATTATTAGGTCCAATTATTTTTCTGCTTTTTATTTTCTTTAATAGGATTTGTACCAGTTGGAAGAAAATCAGATTATATCAAATTTGAATAAATCCTAAAAATGCATGCAAAAATTAATCACAAAATTTGCAGATGACAATGAATAAAGATAGAAGACACCAAATAAAAGATCTAGGCCTCAGTGCTGGTATCAGCAGAAAGTTGTAGGTAAGTGTGGGACTTGCATCGCATTCGAAGAATTCACATCTAATATCTCATGAAAAATTTGAGAGAATCCATATAAGCAAATATTGAATTTTACTTGCATAGAGATGTCTCCTTTATTATTAAAACTAGACCCTTGGTTGGTTTACAAAAATTTCAAAATCTGGCCCACAACAACACATCCTAATTCTAACAAAGTATATAAATAGAAATTTTGATATTGCTACAGTACAAAAACCAAATAGGGATCCAAAAGAAAAAGAGAAGTACCGATTCTGTTGTAGTGCAATTCACACATATGGCAATATAAAAGAAGAAATATGAATAACAAGGAACGGAGCAAAGCAAGGAGGGTAGCAAGCACGTGAAATACAATGCAAAATGTGAAACTTCAATTTAGGTTACAATTGATCAACGACTTCAACAACTGGAGATTAGCAAATCCTTTAAGCTAATGCTTAAAGGATTCTTTGTTTTACGGTCATTAACAAAGAAAGATAGAGGAACCAATAGAATCACCCAATAAAACCTAAAATTGGGAGAAGAACCAACCCAATACTGATTTAGAGAACACTTTAATTGTCTTAAGAAGATAAATAATATTTGTACTTGATTTTACAATAAAATTAAAACCAAAGCTATGAAGACAACTTAAGCAATCAATAACTCGATAATAATATTCTCACACACAATTTTCATTTACAATGAGCACAGACATTTAGATTTGTATTATTTCACCTAGCTTGAAAAATTTTGGTTTCGAGGGATAATATTTCTACAAGAAAAGATGGAATTTTACATGCATGTCTAGATATCTACTATTTATAACTAATACTAGACCAATGATTGATAGTTTCCAAAAAATTTTTATTTTGATCTAAAACAATAATTTGCAGTTCCAAAAAGCACAAAAACAATAATTTTTGGACCTACTAAGCGCCATCATAATAACAAACTCAGGATCTAACAAAAATAAATACAGAAAATTCAGATGCTTCTATAGTGTAAATTGACGTATATAAGGTAAATTAGGTTACACTGGTCTCAAGAAACATAGCATGGCACGGAAAGGTAGGGAGAACTTGAATCACGAGGGAAATTGCGAGATAGATAGGAAACAACCAATTCTAGCGACATGAGATCAACAATTGGAGATTAACAAATCCTTCCAGAGTGAGTACTTGATGCTGGTAGCAGCGTCCAACAGCTATCGATACAAGAATTCCGGCGGCAGGATCATTAACAGAGGAAGCTAGAGGACCTAATAGTGAATAAAAACTGACACAAGGAATCAAATTGTACACTTATTTTTTGAAGCACAAGTTGTTCTCAATAGTGATCAGAATCAAATTGACTTGCACTAATTTTTGAAAGCGCAAGTTGTTCTCAGTAGGGATCAATACTATAATCATATTTACGACAAAATTGAAGGAAAAGCTATGAAAACATTCTAATGCAACTCAAAACTCAAAATAAAAATCTGCTCTCACGATATTTGTGTATTTCCATAAGCATAGGCTTTCATATTTGCATCATGAAACGTTAGATTATTGTTTTGTATTGCTTAGAATATGCTATCTCATTTTCCATGCCCATCAAAGTAATAGGTACATGCATTTTTCATTCAATTTCTTTTCTTGCAGAATGTGGCACATGATTCGGTTAAGAAATTGCTCAGCTCCAGAGGTCTGACATCAGGTGAGCTGTTCCTTTTTGGGTGATTTTTATATAGAAATACTAGTAATGCCTAAACGTAGCTATGGACAGATGTGGTGGGCATAAAATGACTTTAAAATCCTCCCATTAATCATCCTAATGTTAGTCTGCACAGCAGCTCTGCCTGAATCTTTCATTCCTAGCATTTCTCTTTTGTTTATAGCACCTCTGCTGTCGTCAAAGCTTGTGTGGTGACTATTTTCATTCGCTTTAAATGCCTTTAGTTATTGTTTGAAGAACTATTGTATGTCATGTTTCTGGCTTAAACAAAGGTAAGGTTTAGTTGCTAGTTGTCATTTAGATCATTAGTAAGCATATTGCAGAAGTTCTTCCATAGTAAGGAATCAGGATGTAATCAGAAGTCAGCCTGCTTTGTTCTACTTTTTATCAATGCATGTAGTAAGCCATGGAGTGTATCGATGTGCAACGTTAATGAGAGCACAACAGGCTTTGTCTGTTTTGTAGCATGAAGAACTAACAACACTAGCGCTTCAATTTCTTGACACGCACATCTAAATAGATGCTCTTTACCATAAAAATGATATTTGGCACTTACTGTTATTTCTCTAGACCATATAACATAGAAATCATGACTGCTTAAAATATTAAACAGTATCCATATTAAAATTAAACAATCAAAAGATTCTGACATGTTAAATTAATTAAATATAAAAAAATTATCAATTCTAATGGTTGAAACAAATGTACATTATGGAATCCCTTCAAAATTGGGGACATGCACACTAAAAAAATTCTTTTATTATAGCTACTAATAAAACGATCTTCTCTAGATTATCAGAAATATGAAAACACATATCCTTTATTCCTATATATCTTCTGTAGGTATAAAACCTGAGCCGGTACCGGACTATAATCACAAACAAACTGAGAAGAAATTTTTAATACCATTGATGATGTGTAATTGAAAAAATGTGCAGCTATGTGGTGAAATAAAAAGTCTGAGATTGATTGATTTGATAACCTGCACCTTACAGAAACCAATTTTATCTTGATTCCTAATATATACTTGCATTGATTGCATAGAAAATGCCAAACGAACTACAAAGTGGTAATAAATCCCAATAGTGCAAAGGGTTTTAGAACGCACATCAACAAATGCTTTTTTCCTGAGCGATCAGAAATTATAGTAGAAATTATGATAAAATGCCACAATAGAAGAATTAGGTTGAGGGAAACATGTTTAGAACACTCTTAAACTGTTGATCTGAATTATTAGTTATTTTATTTTCCGGTAGGAGTGCGAAGACTTTACAAGGGTATATGAGAAAGCAATTATTTAGGGACCTTTAGGCATCCAATGGCAGGAGAGCAGTTGAGCAGGACTTTTAATAGTCGCCAAACTGACTTTTAACCTTTTACTGAACCAGATGGAAGGTCCCTTCGGAAGAGAAAGCTGAAGCACCCCAGTCATGTTTTCCCTGCTCCACCATCTCGTCTAGAATTCCTGTTGCTTAGTAGCCTACAGAGACAAAGGTTAATGCACTACGTCACTCCACCGGGGAAAGCATGATTTTATACATGTTTAGCAACTTTGGATTTATGGTTATACTTTTATTTTTTTTAGAGAAATGACCAAAATGGTCCATCAACTGAGGGACCAAAATATTTCCCAACTCTTTTAAGGCACCAATTTGATTCTTCAACTCTGTAAAATGAGATATTTTTTATCCTAACATCTAATATTGTAGTTAATGGGTTTAAATGTAAGGGTATTTTGGTAATATTTATTTAATAAAAATTTCAAAATATTATAATTTTTCTAAAAAAAATTATTAAACATTATTTTTAATAAAAAAATAATAAGAATTTTAGTTTTATAACGTCATAGATGGTCTTCATTAAGTTATATATGCTATATAAAATATATAATAAATTGTATAATAAAAATAATTTGATTATCATAACAACCATAAGTCCACCAACTAGTCACGAAATATAGCAATTGTTAAGTGAAGCTAAAGGAAAAAAAATATAATATTTGCATTGAAACTATCTATATGCAAATGAAACTATTATAGAGATAAAAACAATCAAATCTTATCATTCTATAAATGCCTCCTTTTATGTGTACGCTAGGATTCAAAGGCATCACTCAAATTATAAAACTTTATATTTTGTAAATTTGGATCAAGCTTGAAGTTATGTAGTCGTTTAGCCTTATCCATCTTTCTAAAAGTAATAGATATCCTATAGAATTTAATTTAAAAAAAAAATAGGTACATGAGGAATTCAAGGTAGATGTATAATTGAAAATGAGTTTATATGATAAAACTTTTTGCAAAAGATTGTAGGAATACAATGCTTAGCAACATGAGTTCTATTACCATTTAAAACAAGCATAGATCTGAATAAGATTGATATTAAAAGTTAAAAATCTAGATGATATGAAATTATCTAATATCCATAGAAGATTATACTATATTACTTACTAAAAGAAAATATTAAAATATGATAGGACAAAAATAATATCTTATACTTACCCAACTGGAAGAGGAATTGAAGTTGATCCAATGAATTCACCTGGCCCAACAATTTTCAGCTTATTACACTCGCTTAAAAGTGACACGATAAAAAAATAATCTCACAAAATCATGGTTGTCAAAATGAGATGGTATGCAGTCACCAGGTTCATAGATATTAATAATGCAGCTATTATGTACAAAATTAATATGCAGCACATGCGAAGTAATCAATTGTTTTATCCTAATTTTGAAGGAATTTGGAATAGGATCAGTAATCACGTCACGAAGGATACTGAGAGGAATCCTGGGAAGGATCCCGTTCTTTTCCTGTAATTAACTTTATTGTTAGTATTATGTTTATTTTAAAATAAATAAAGAAAAAAATCAATAAGTTCAAATTATAACCGCATAGTTATAACAACATTCGAATTGTATTGTCACCCGTCTTTCGCCACGCATCCACTTTTTTTGTTCCAAATACATATGCTCTAAAAAAAGTACATGTTGAATTTTCTCAAGGGCTATAAATGATAAGATAAATTTCTAAAGAAATGATCAAGAATATAAAAATAAAGCATATTATATATAATCTAATATAGAGAAAATTGATATTTAAGTATAACTAATTAACTAAAATTATAGAAATATAATGTTTTATCTAATTGAATAATGTTTAACAATATCATGATAAATGAGCATGCTTAAAATTTGGTATTTAGTTAATTTAAAATCATGAATAATATAAAAAAAAAATCATGAATAATATCATTAAAAGATCGTCAACAAGCTGGATAAAAAACTCAATTCAGGCTTAATGACACAATCATTAAAAAATTGATTATATCTTTATTTTATATATTATTATGTGGAATTCTTGTTATTTTTTATATTATATTGTTTAGATTCATGAAGGCAAGTAACTTGTTTTCATTGATTCTATTGAAATATGAAATGATTATGTTATTACCTCAAATTATTATTTCAATCATAAGAAGATTTGTTGAACATCATAGCCAACGAAGCAATACAAATAGAACCTAGAAGCAGAAAATAAATAATGCAGAATAATTAAAAGATTTAATATATGCAATGCTACTTAATTTAGAATATTTTTAAAATTTATTAATTGACAGCATAATTGATAGTTTAATAATAGCAAAACTCAAATAAATATGAATATGTAGGCATAATTTAATATTTGTACAAATAAGTACCTTCAAATTTTATGCTACAAATATAATAAAAATATTTTATAAATGAATGTAAAAGATAAAATGAACAATTTTGATCATACCTCCAAGTTCATTCTTCCTTCCTTTGTTTTGCAAATCATAGACAAATTACACTTTTTTTTTTGTTCCATAGAAGTAAAAACCTCTGTGTACAATTTGAGGCCCCTCCAAAATATTCACAAACCTTCTATTTATTCTCTCAAGGCAAACATAATCTTTATTCATGCCCAGACTTGTAAAGAATCATTGCTCTCTCTCCTCTTTGTAGAGTTTGGTCTTCTTCAGATTCGCCTCCACCTTCTCTTCCACGACAAAGTCATTTGTATTCTTCTTCCTCTTCTTTCCCAGCTCTTGTTTTTAGTCATAGCAAACCAAGAAATATGATTGCATCTTCAGACGAGCCTCTAGTAAAGTCCTAAACATTGTTAACAATAACCAAACTTTCTATTCTTAAAAAAATGTATAATTAGTAAAAAATTGATATAATTAACTAAAAAAAGTTACTAACTCTTTAAAATGTTGATAAACATTTTTTAACTAAGTATAAAATAACATTAGAATATTGAGAAAATTATTAAATTTCATAATTAAACATAGGAAAGCAATAAAGGTAGATAAACAACTATTTGTAGATAATAATTTGGGTTAAAATTGATTCAAAATAATTCACGAGCAAGTCTAATAAGTAATAATTATTATTTATAGAGACAAATCAAATTATGATAATAATAATAGTTATTTGTAGAGACAAAATCCAAAGTTACCTTAACTTCCTTGTAAAACTTTTCATTTTCATTACAAATTTTTTAAAATATGTTAAGATGTTTATTTGACCCGCATAATTCACAATAATTTTGGGCACAATCACCTCAATTTGAATGAGGTGATTTAAGAAATCAATATGATCAAACCATTGCAAAATACTTAAAACCAAAATTAAGGTAGGCTTGATTTGATGTACCTATATCAATGAAGAAATCTTAATTTTTGTAATAATAGAATGCTTTGTTATTCTTAAATAATAAAAACACAAATGGGTAAATACCCATATAGAGCATAAACAACTACAACCATTCATTAAAAGTCAAAAAAATTAACGACGGGGATTCATTTAGTGTTTTCAAATGCAGGACTAGAATGATCTATCGGGAGACTCATAAATGATACTTATAATAGTAGTATAGATATGATTGATAAAAATATGTATGACTAAGTTGAAAATAACATCTATTTAATTTTAATAGTTATCAAATGCAAATAGATGTTATTTTCAACTTAGTAACACATTTTTATCAGTCATATTTTATAAAATATGACTAAAATTTTTTAAATTAAAATTTAATTTATTATTAATTTTTTATCTAAAAAAATGTTTAATAATTTTTTTATAAAAATTAGAATTAATTGAAAATTACATTTAATAAATATTTAATTAAGAAATGAGCAAAACACCCTTATGTTTAATATCATTAATTTCAATATTGGATGTTAGGGCAAAAAATATCCCATTTTAAAGAGTTGAGGGATCAAATTGGTTCCTAAAAAAAGTTGGTGTTCATTTTGGTCCTTTTCTCATTTGTTTTATTTATACTTAATATGCTCGGCCTCATGAGGTTGCAATGCAGTTTTGTTATTGGCTTTCAGGAATGTATTATTGTGTTTGGTTGTTGGTTCTTTTTATTTGACACAAATTGTCATCCTATCATACCCTTGACTTGCCAGAAGTTTCCCCATGATTTCTTTGACAAAAACTTGCTTGGCTCTATGCCTTGATCTGCATGCTTTTATACATGTTTAGCAACTTTGGATTTATGGTTACACTTTTATTTGTTTTATTTATTCCTTGATCATCTCTTCCTCATGAGGTTGCTGTGTAGTTTTGATATTGGCTTTCAGGAATGTATTATTTTGTTTGGTTGTTGGTTCTTATTTGTTTGACAACAATTTGTCATCCTGTCATAACGGCCTTGACTTGCCAGAAGTTTCCCTATGATTTCTTTGACCAAAACTAGCCTGGCTCTATGAAACATAAAATGTCCCTGCATCAAACCCGTAAGGCATTCATCAGCCTTCACCTTATAAAGTGCTAGACTTATCTGATAGTATTTTTAGGGCAAGTGTCATGGTTAGTGCTTTAATTTTTTGAAGTGCAATAATACTTGAAATCAGTTTACTATGAAGCAAATATAAAATGGATTCGTTCTCTTCTAATGCCGTAGCAGAAGAATCTCCCGCCAGTAGGGTTTATACTGATCCATGCTCTCCTAGCGGATATTCACACACCGGGATGTCACCTGCAGTCTCTGTTGTGATCCCTAGTTCCAGCTTGGAACGTCAGTCCATTGCTCATGCCAGTGGCAACTTTTCAGAATGCAAATCTGCCGCACTGTTGCTGTTACAAAAGGAAAAAGGTAGAACTTCGTTGTTTGTCCTTTACCATCAAAAGTTGTTGGAACTTCTATCTATTATTGAGGATAACTGACATCTGCTAGATTTTTTTATAAACCTTACCATGCTAATTCTTAGGACATCATCTGTGTGGTAACTAAGACCTGCTAACTTTTGTTCATAATCAGGAATGCTTACATGTTCTTGATTTCACTTTCCAGATAGATGCCTGTATCAGCAGTGTCACTTGGGTTCAAGCTACGTACCTAACCTACAAGGGAAATTCCTAGCAACTGAGAATTTCTTTTTCACTTCAAAGGTTAACTATCCTTCCAGCTCAACTTTTTGTGCTTGTCCCATTTTTTTAATATTTTGGCTAAACACCATATGTTTTGCATTTTCAAATTTTTTTTAAATTTTTTTTATTTTGTTTTTTTTTTATTATTTTTTTAATTTTTATTCATTTTTTATTATTTTTTTATTTTGCATTTTCAAATATTTCTTTTCTGCACATGCACTTATTGTTCCTCTACTCCTACTGATAGTTCTTTGGGCTGGGGCCTGTGCCAATTCTATCCGATTTGGAGTCAGCCGGTCAACAGTTTTGTGAAGAAGATTGGATGAAACTCAAAAGCAAATATCAAACGCTAGCGGAGGAAGATTTCACCAAGTATTGCTTCTCCGCAGCATATATTGTGGCCCTATTGCATGACAGTCTTGGGATAGCAATGACTGATAAAAGGTAATTTTTTCCACACGTATTGCTTCTCACCCTAACTTTGTTTTAATATGCCATAATTTTTAATTTCTTGGTGATACACAAGTTTTTAATGTATATACTGTGAACAGGCTGTGGTTTTCAGATAATGTGCAAAATATCCAAGTTGACTGGGCTCTTGGTGCATTCATTATGAAAACTATGGAGCAGATGGGTTGGATTGCGTTTATATCGCATGACAGGTTTTTCACACTTTTTGGCATCATCGTATTATCTTCACTCCTGAGCTTTGCTATCTGGTTGATACTAAGATTGCGAAAACCACAACTGAAAACTGTATACGACTTGGAAAAAGGGCGTTATATTGTAACTAAAGTCAGTAGATGATTTTTGTGTAATTGCTTCACAAGGTTAGTGGTGTCAGGGCCTGCCTGTAATCATAACATTATCCTTAAATTTCATTTGATTCTTTTGTTTATTTTTAACTTGTTCCATAGAGCTAAGAACTGAATAGAGGGGGCTGTGAGTCCCCATTTATATTATAGAATGTGTTCATGACTTCATTTCCATGCCCACTTCGCTTGAAGAATTCCTATTCATGCCTTGGTTTGTAATATATTTTGATGTATGCGATTTTAAGATTTAGGGTAGTTCTGTGTGTTTTTTTTTTTCCCTCAGAGCAATCTAATGTTGTGATAAGGATAGCCGATTTTTTTTTCCCCCTTTAAATAAATTACCCAAACTAAGTTGATGAATTTTAAAGCATTGGCGCATGCTGAGATCGCGTATTTGGGGAAAATGCAGCTATGCCAACTTTTTATTTTTATTTTAAAAATCAACTAAACTCCATTTTAGATTTTTGAATGCCTTTGGGTATTCAATAAATTAATTATACTAAATTTTTTTTTGGATCTTGCTGTACTTGGAGATGGAAAAGTAGAAGGCCTAACAATTTCCTTATTATTTCAGATTTTTATCGGCTGGCTTATGTAGTGACGCAAATACCTGCTTTTATGTTAAATGATGACAGTTTTTTATGTTTTTAACCAGAACTAACGGCAATAACTAAATTTTAAATAGCAAATGGCCTGATATCTAGACGTTAACCTGAACCGATCAAGCAAAGCTTGAGATATATGATGAATTCGAAAGATTTAACGATAGCCAAACTAAACAAAGTGCTCGTCGAAAAAGAAAAAAAAAAGTGTCCAACTGAATAAAAATATGCTTTATAATAGAGCACATTTAGAATGCATTAATTAAAAAAATAATTGTCTAATTCAAAATTTTCATCAGGTAAAAGACACTCAAACAACATTTTTGCTTATGCCCTAGCTCATAAAGTAATATTAGTTGATTAACTCTTTGCAGACTGTTTTTCTTTAGCTTTTTGGATTTTCAGAACCTTCTTCACAATCTTCTGCTCCTCTACCAAAAATGCTCGGATAATCCTATTAACAAACATGTATTAGCATATCAGGTAATCTAATGAGATAAAAGAGAACATTGTTATGGCAAAACCAACCTTTCTCGGACGGCTCCACAAGATAGAACCCCGCCATAAGCACGATGAACTGTCCTACGATTCCTTGCTAATCTACTTCTTTTGTATTCAGCTGGTCTCAAGTGAGGAATCTAAATGTACCAAAAAGTGCAATAAGCCTCTATTAACATGAAGCAACTACATTAGAAGTGTATACCAACAACTACAACTGATGATATATTTAGAATAGAATGCATCAAACTATGTAAAAACCCATGGAAACTTCAAATATCTCCTAGAAGATTATGGCATGGCATTGCATGTTTTGACACGTAAAAGAAGAGAGACCGGATCCAATGTTTTAGAAAGGAAACTCAACATAACACATGCTGATACCAAAGTTCTACAGCCCAAGCCCTTTCACACAAAAATTCCATCCACCTACAAGGCAATTTAGCCAAATCTAACTTTGTAAAATTATCAAGGACTGCAGAAAAAGCAGTATAGATTGGATAGACATTGCCATCAGCATTCAATTTTCAATTACCACTGTAATAATGTAAATAATAACTTAAGTGAACTAATTTATAGGTCCAGGATCACAGCAGCAAATGCGGAAATCAATAAAATAGTCACACAATGAACAAAACATGTTCAGAAGATTGAATTAAAGAAGTGTTTGTAAGACAACTCTCCTGTAAAAAGTAACCAAAGAAAAATTTCAGACTAATTAAACACCAATCATTCTTACATTGTAGTAGCATGAAACCCTATGCAACGCCTGGGAAACTTAAGACAGATGATTGTAATGATCTGATAATTTGATTAAAAAGAAATTGACGGAAATTCTTAAGTGAAAAGATATTTATTTGAGTGTTTCGTCAGAACATGTAATCAAGTTTGGTAAATTTTCATTAAGAGTTAAGCATATTTTGAAAGACCTTGGCAACAACACTAACAACAACTTTTATCTCACTACATGAGGTCAGCTAAATAAATCTTTTTTCTTCAATGCGTTCTATTAAGAGTCAAATTCTTATTTAAATCTAATAAAAAGGGTCATTTTTAATACTTTCTAACAAAATCTTTTTAGATCAACCTTTGCCTTTTTTAACATAGGCCGAATCTAATATATCCACGGGTTATCAGAAGACATACATTTTATGTGAACAAATCATCTAAGGCAACTCTCTAATATTATCTGCCACTAAAACTACAACCTTTCACGTATATACTCGTTTCGCATTTTGTTTATATGGGTAAAATCATCCACCAAAGTATCCTCGTCTCTACAGCATGTAACTTAATTTTATGCTTCAATTTTAATAGCCAACATTCTATGTCATAAAGCATTGCAAATCTCACCACCATATTCTTATAAACAAAGATCCAAGTCCTTAGAATTGGCTTCCCATTCTCAAAAAAGAGCTCCATATTTTTCAAAAGAGCTCTATATTTAATAAAAATTTGCAAATAATGCAATAAAAAAATATTTTCTCGTTACTTGCATCCAATGAAACCAAGCTGTATATTAAATTTTTAAGTCACTAAATGTCACAAAGGTGCATTCTCCTAATCAATGTGGTATAGTGCAGGATACCTTACATGTTTATTGAATTTAATCAGAGTGCTTCTCTAAGGCTGTTAAAAGTGAAAAAAAAAAATGAAATACCTAACCAAAAAAGGCTCTCGGGAGGAATCTGTGCAACATTACCTACATATTTGCGGAAAGATTATTGAACTTATGATCTCCGGATTATAATGGAGACAATCAGTCCTGAAGGTCTCCACCAAGATCTATTGAAATTAGTTTAAGTCATTTCGAGTAAAATCCTAAATTGAACAAGATTTTGAATTTTCCTTAGTCAACCAAATAAAGTTAAAATGTGTATTTATGCATAACACATCATATATCTATATATGTATATATTTCAACTTGGCTCAAAATCAATTCCAAGTTAATGCAAAATCTGATCATCTTAAGTTTAGTCCAATCAACAAATAAATTCAAATAAACTTCAATTAAATTTTAAGTATAATGTGAATCAAGCATGAGTTAGAATTAAATTAAATAAAATTACCTTCTAGAATTATGAACCTTATATGTTTCTTCAATACTGCTTAATACATCAACACCCTTTAAACCAAAGCATATATATATTCTTCTAGTTATATAATAAAGATATCCACCATTTGTTTGAACTAGAGATATGATGAGCAATAATTTTCTAGAACAGAATAGCATTCCACATAAAATGACACTATGATAGTCTACTTCAATTAGTTTATTTTATTCATTAAAAATAGGATTATTAACAATATAGATGGTGACATGAATATCATGGCATAAAGTCATTGGCTGAGTAATAGCAAAATCAAACTCATTTAAATAATTCAAATGATTTTTAACCTGTATTATTTTTCATGTCAAATGTGCTTATACCTATATGCTCAACTTCATCACTTAACCTAAGCACAAATTATGGCCACATGAATATCATGGCATAAAGTCATGAAAGTCATGAAAAATAGGATTATTAACAATATAGATGGTGACATGAATGCCATGGCATAAAGTCATTGGCTGAGTGATAGCCAAATCAAACTCACTTAAAAATTAAAATGATTTTTAACCTGTATTATTTTTCATGTCAAATGTGCTATACCTCTATGCTCAACTTCATCACTTAACCAAACCTAAACACAATTTTCTTTTGGTTTTACAGGTGACAAGATTTCCTCCAATAAAGATTCAATGTCTTAGAGGCTGATTTTCTATCATCAATCAATCCAGTATAATGAACGTCGAAAAAGACGAACATTTAAATTCTCAAATACAGCATATAACAATATTTTTCCTGACGACTTTTAGATAACATCTTAGGCTACATAGTAGAGCCAATGCTTCTTTTTTGGACTTTGCATGTGCTTACGCACTGCTCCAACATAGAATGAAATGAGTGATCCGATGACAACTAGTTAAATGAGAAGTGTCTGTGCATCTTAGATTAAATCTAAACAATGTGATAGGATATGTTAGCCTATAAGGATGTTTAGGATGAAAAAAGTATGCCAGTAAAGGTGCTGTAGTAGGAATATAAGGGGAGAATGAACAAGTAGTGAAGCAGGCTCAAATGTAAAGGAGGGAGAAAAAAGGGGCTAGCCCCTTGAAATGTTACATCAACAAAGTATGTAGGCATAGTGTAAGTAAATCATGCCATGATAACCTTTTTAAGTATGAAAGTACCCAAAGAAATACACCAAATAGAATGAGGTAGGAGTTCCGTGGACAAAGTAAGCAAAGACAAAAATGCAAAATTTCATGGTATGGTGGAAGTTGAAAAAATTAGTCTTACCCAGGTAAATAATGGAGAAAGGGACATCTAGCTCAAAGAAGTTCAAATAAAGTGATAATATTCTGATTGAGCAAGCATGATTGTGACCAAAGGAGTCGTAGTAATGGAATAATTATCAGCCAGACTAAATTCGCAAGGCAAGTCGGGCAATAGGAGGATAACCAAATTTGACCGGATATTACTCTGAAGGATGATTGATGTAACCACAATGAAAATAGGGAGGAAAAGACTTCACCCCATGACCGTATACAGTATTCTAATGACCTCCACAACCAATTATTAGACCAGATGGTTTTTGATAGCAAGGGTAATTTGATTAAAAGATGGCGGGGGACAACAATTTGGTGATGAAATGAAGTAATGAACTTGTGAAAGACCAATTGCAAGATTATAAATTGTGAATTGACCATCAAGCAATATTGCACCGTTGAAGAGGTATTTGATACCGTTGAATTATATGGAAGTTCTCATGATGGAGGATTTTGCATCATTTAGAGGAGTTGGAGAGGCTATGTGTTAGACCGGTCCAGCCAGTCCAGGCGGGACCGGTTCACGGGCAAAATCGCAAAAACAGCGGAGAAAACTTCCGCATGGGCGGAAGCCGCGCGAGACCCGCGCCTTGCGGGACGGTTTCGGGAAGGAAATTTGAGGGAGTTTAGGAGGGAAATTGATTGCATGGACTGTTTAGGGAATTCCTTTTGAATTGTATGCATTAAGTAGTTGATTTTGCTAGGGTTTGAGTATCTTAGATTTAGATTTTCTTTGGGCTCTAGCGGCGTCTAGAGATTTGGGAGAGATCAATCCTCCTCTCGAATTGAGGATCAATTGTATCTTTGCTGTTTTCTTCTTCTTCTAGTGAAATACAAGCTTTTTTGTGACTTTTCTCTCAGTTTTCCCGTGATTTCTCACTGTTTTCTTGAGAAAAACTGCTGTCCACTGCTGTAAACAATGGTTTTCTGCTTGTTCTACTTCACTTTTTGCTAGGAACTACTTGAAACCAAGTATTTCCTATCACTATGATGCTACCTAAGATAGATAATAAGTAGAAATGAGTACGTAATATCATCATTTACGGAACACTGAAGAGTAGAAGAGGTAGTCGAAAAAGAATAAGCAAATAAATAGGATTCTCAAATGTTATTGCTTAGAATGCATTCATTTCACTTACAATTGAAAGGTCACAAGAAGATAACGCGAGCAAGGGGAGTGGTGGTTAATGGACAAGTGGACTACATGCGTGATGATTGCGGGAGAAACAAGCATATGAGTGTTGGATCCATGCAAGGAGCAAGCAATTGCAAAAAGTGAGCATCACAGCATGCACTAAGCAAACGATCGAGCTATTGTGGGAATAGTTGCTTATAGGAAGTGGAAGAATTTACTAAAGTATGTGTTGGGAAGTGTTGTAGGGGCGTCGAGAGTGAGCTAGAACATAACAGCACACACAAGTAAGGGTTACAATGATTTGTATGATCGAGTAAGGGTGGTGGTGGTAAGGGGCAGGGACTATGAGTTGAGAGGAAAATATTTTCACCAATACTTTACTAAATATATGATGCCTACAAATATACTACAAAAAATATATAAAGGAAATACAAAATAGATAATAATACCTTCTATTATAATAGTATTAAATTAACTAAAATTAGAGACCCTACCTATTTTTCTTATGTCCACATTAGCATATATGTCAACATAAGCATACCAAGGCAAGCCACAACTTGGTCAATTTACGCCGAGGCATTTATACCTCCAAGAACTCGTCCTATGCTGCTTTCTAACATGCGAATTCACTGCCCAACTCAGCCCACGCGAGCAAAAGTTAAGATTTGCCCACGACCACCAAGAAAAATACAATATAATAATTAACAAGGTTTTATGATAATAAATGCAGGGATATCATTATCACATTCAATGTTCGGGTTATTGAAAGTGCATGAGAAGCCACAAGCTAGACAATTGATATCACGTATGATATTATTATCCTTCTATCCAAAATGGCCTACCTTTGAGAACCTTGGATTTTATGACACACTAGGCATATTCAGATCTTAACATCAACAGAAAATAAATGAAGTTTTCACAATTACTACTGGATCCATGCAAATACGAAAAAAAAAAAAACAAATCGGAAGTAAAGAACGAAGTACCCCAATAATTTTCTTTCCAGTTATAGGACATTTTGGGCCACTTGCTCTCTTCTTCGTATACTGATACACAAGCCTGCCGCCTAAATAGAGCGCCCAAGAAAATTCAGAAAAGGAAAAAAAAAAAGCATTGGATATATTATGAAACTCCCCGCTTCCGAATAAAAAAAGAAATTCTTAAAAAATGAAATAATGAACTGGAACCAGAATTAATATCAATGAACAAAAAGAAGAAACGAGATGTTAGGTGATGGATCCTAACCTGGAGTCTTAACAACCCTAGTTTGGTTGGACTTGGTGGCGTAACTGTGCCTCTTTCGATAAGTTAGCCGCTGCACCATCTTCCTCAATTCTACTTCTCTTCTTCTTCTTCGAGAATTGGTATATCTCGCCCCTAAAAACCGCCCCAAATGGACCACGAGCTATTATCGGCCTTTTCAAAATGTTCAGAAGGGACAGCTGCGCTAAGATTTGTACATTCTGATCTATACATAGTTTGCTCCTTTGGTGACCTAAATCGGACGGTTGAAGCTATCTAGATCCAACGGCTGAAAGTTTCTTAGGATCACAGAGTACCGATGCTACTAAATTAATGGGCTTGACTTTTCTCGAAATCTAAAAACGACCTGGCACGCAACTCGGCTTATCCTGTTGGTTGAGAGCTTATGTTTCTAGCTAAAAGAGATTTTGAGTTCGAGTCTTTGTGTATGCGTTACGTGTGTGAACTTGCCTTAAATGACCTAAATGTCCAAAAAAAAAAAAAACTAGGCCGAATGTACTAAGGAGGCAGCTTGTTCAGGCGAATTTATAGTATAATGATTTTAACTATATATATTTCAATTTCAAAATTTTAAATATCTAATTGGGTAAATATTAAATACAATGAAAATTCAACATTTAGTACTAGTGCAGTGTATTTAGAGACACTAGTGTTTGTCAATTTTCAAATATTAATGATTGTCTTCCGTGTCTCCTTCTTAATTGAGGGAGTGATTTGATCAATTATCTATTATTATTCGGGTGTTGACATCTATTATCAATTGTTAGTTAATTTCTACTAATAATTAATTTTTATTAGTCATCAACATTTAATGTTTGTCTTATCAATTGTTCAATCTCCCTTTATACCAAAATAATGATTAATTTGATTGCTTATCATTAGTTCTAACTTTCAAATTTAATTATATAAATTACTTATAAACCATTCAAGAAGTTCCCTTATGCATCAATTTTATCTACTTATGGGAGAGTGATGTGAGGGAAGGAGAGATATATAAAGAGAGACACGAGAAGGCGAAATCAAGTTTTAAAGGTTTTAGAGTTGATTTTATGAGGCAAGAAAAACTAATCTACATGAGATAGTCAATTATCCCATTTCTATTTTTTTATAATTTGCTTTTTGTTTGACTTCTCAGATTTGATTTGGATATATTTTATGAAAAAATATGATATATCAATGTTTTAATAATTTCATCTATCGTATTATCATAAAGAGTTTTCAACATCTATTTTCATAATTATGTGATATTCTAATTTTTTTATCAGGCTTATTAATGTTGATAAAAATTGCTATACTATAGCTAAGTATTAATGTTTATGAGTAGTGTATGTAATCCTATTTGATTCTTAATGTATTTTGAACCAAGTACTTTGATTGATCCTTCAAACCATACTATTTTGAGTATTTTCATTATATATGCAAACTTCTATGCATTATTAATGTGATATGATATAAAATACTCTTTTTACTAAGCATATTGATTAAATATATGCATGTGTGAGCGAGTGCATGGGAGACAAAAAATATTGAATAAATAAATTGTATTATGTACATGAAGATATTGGGGTCTGAATGTATATTTAAATAAGTACATGAATACATAAGAAATGTTACATGATTGTCAATTTGATGTGAATAATTTGGAAAAAGTCCACAATTTCTAATTTGAAGTCACCCAAAAATTACAAAAATATCCTAATATTTTTTAGGAATAAATTCTTCTAGTATAGTTGAAGATTTCATCACTGTGACTCAAAAATGATGTCATATTGTTAAGAAGCACAATTCGTGGTCCGGCGGCTGTCGAGGAGGAACTCCTTCCTTCTCTTCTCTTCTTCTCTCTCTTGCTTGGATCCTCTCTTGTGAAGAATGAGGGCTCTATTTATAGATTTTCTGGAGTGGCATGGCCCGTAAATAGGTGTGAGATCAGGGGCGAATAGGGAGTGGTTGAATGGACGGTCGATATTGAATCCTACGATCGTGCACCGTTCATTGGACATTTGAATGTATTAGTGATGTCGGAATTTTGTGATCTTGGGCTCGTTGGATTCGTCTCGTCGAGCCCTTCGATTCGAGTATAAGCTCGTCAAAATCGGAGTTCGTTTGGTAACTCAAATTGCGGTTTGAACCTTCCAACAGCGCTTTGGATCCATGATTTGGACCCATTTGGGCTCGGATTGGGTTGATCTTGGTGTCGTTGAGTTCGTATTTCCGAGACGCTCAGTTCGACTATAAGTTTGCTGAAATCGGAGTTGGGGTGCTCTCGGAATTAATTTTTGTAGTTTCCAACTAGCATTTGCCTCGAGATTCGTGCCCGATCAAGCTAATTTTGTGATGCCGTATCAATACTATAGCTAAATATTAATGTTTATGAGTAGTGTATGTAATCCTATTTGATTCTTAATGTATTTTGAACTAAGTACATTGATTGATCTTTCAACCCATACTATTTTTGAGTATTTTCATTATATATGCAAACTTCTATGCATTATTGATGTGATATGATATAAAATACTCTTTTTACTAAGCATATTGATTAAATATATGTATGTGTGAGCGAGTGCTTGCGAGACAAAAAAAATATTGAATAAATAAATTGTATTATGTACATGAATAAATTGGGGTCTGAATGTATATTTAAACAAGTACATGAATACATAAGAAATGTTACATGATTGCCAACTTGATGTGAATAATTTGGAAAAAGTCCACAATTTCTAATTTGAAGTCACCCAAAAATTACAAAAATATCATAATATTTTTTAGGAATAATTTCTTCTAGTATAGTTGAAGATTTCATCACTGTGACTCAAAAATGATGTCATATTGTTAAGAAGCACAATTCTTTTGATATAATTTACATGATAGTAAGCACGTTCAAGCACTTGTTGTTCTCTTTGAAGAGAGCATGAGACCTCATGCTTTGTTAATAGCGAGTGCAATGGTGAAGTCATCATTTGATTAATCTATCGTGCTTGGGTAAAGACGTTAAGCGCCACATGTAAGGAACATAGTTATCTCATTTAGGCTTATTATTTCAACGTAGCATAAATTAGGCCTACGTAAAAAATTTGTGCTTATTTGATAGTCATTTATAATATCCAATATTAGTAAGAATTTATATATCAACAATATGATTTTTATGAAATATTAAATTTAAGATATTCAATATTATTTAGATATATAAAAGTCATTAAAATTATGTCCTTTTAAAATAATTATAAGTTAATTTCTTTAATTTATCCTTTATAAAATAAGATATATATAATAATTGATATAGATATTTTCCATCTTATGATGCCGATTAAAATTTCTTTTTTATTTTATGTTAAAATTTTATTTTAGCATCAAATAAAAAATTAAAAAATATTTGATCTAAATTAATTATTTATGTGTGGAACTCTCGTCTCCCACCAATTTTGGAGCCAGAATTCGCTCTTCCAACCAATCGAGCTCCTCCCTCACTTCTTTTCGGAAGAAGGAGCGGTGGTAAGGTTACATGAAATGACGCGACTCGACGAGACCCCATATATATACCGAAAAGAGCCCCTTTTGGGGCGGGCGCGGCATATAAACCTAAAACCCTTCTCCTCTCTTCAACTCTCTTTATCGTTTTCTCCTATGCAAACTGGCCTAGTTGGTATTTTGTATAAGTTCAGGGTTAGGGTTTAGTGGTGAGTATGGCGGCTGACAAGGGGAAGAGGTCGAAAATTTCCGAGCAAGAGATTGAAGACGCTGCAGATCATATCGACGGGGAGCTGGTGCTTTCTATAGAGAAATTGCAGGAGGTGCAGGATGAGCTCGAAAAGGTAAGTAGAACTTTCTGAATTCTCTTTACGAGTTGTGGTTTTATGTGCAAGCTCGGTTCTTTTTCTTTCTTTTGGTAGCGTGGAGATTTAACTATGAATTTTTTTATTGTGCAATCATGTTATTTTAAGATGTTGTAATGACCTAGGGTTTCGATGGATATTTTCCGTGTGTGAGTTTGTTCCACATTATAATAAAAGGTCAGGAGTTGCTTGATGGAAAAATATAAATAAACGCAGATAAATTTATACAAACCCTCTATGCATTCAGGGAAATGGAGTTGCAAGTGCTGCATTCCAGTTAATAAAGTGTATGCTCTCGAATGAACATTTTCTCGTTCAAGAATTTATTCGGCCTTCTTATATTGATTTATTTTTACTAGCATTCGCTGTTGCAGAGAAAGATAATTTTAATACTGGATAAACTGCCCTTTTTAGGCTTTTTTCCCAATTTCATGAATGTTCCTTGTAGAAAGATGAATAATTGGAGATATGAGATACAATTTTTTAGCAGTTGCTGCTGGGGATGGTCAGCCTTTGCATGGAGAAGCACATTGGCTGAAATACCCTTTATGTTTTGTAGTAAAAAAACAATGGAATCTTTTCACTTGTGATGTCAAATTGCTTCATGCCAAAAACTTTCTAACCATTTGCTATTCTCAATATTTTTTACCATGTTTGATGAATTCATTCATCTTATTTTAATGGGAATGGGAGGCTGCCCCGCTATTGCCACCTGAAATGTTGCTCTTGTAAGATACTTGAGAGTGTTGTTTTTTGTCCCATATTAGATGACTGCAATATACTTTGGTGTAGAGTTGTCAACTGGTTGGCCTTCATTAGTGTTCTTCAGATTTTCAGGGGCAAATGAGTTTGAGCATTGGGTGGTTCGGTTGGAATCTAGTGATTCATGCAATTTATTCCTCCCATGACTCTTTGTTGCTTCTTGATGCATTCAATTCTTCATGATCATGATTTTTTTTATTTTATGTTATTGTAATTTTTGAGTTTTTATTTTTGTTTACCCAATGATGGAAGGCAACTGATGATCATGTGTGGTTTAGGTGCTCATTGGACATGTTTTTCCTTTGGTGTGCTAGCCTCTTTGGGTGATTTGTGTTTGGGCTGACTTGGGTTTGATGGGGGCGGCTGAACTGCTTGGCCTGGCTATTTAGGGTTCATGTTGCTCCCTTGGCTTGGTTGTTCGATTTTTGTTGCTGTTCCCTGGCTTTCCCGGTTCTCCTGGCCTTGGCTGTTCAGTTCCTACTGCTGCTTCCTGGCTTTCCCGGTTCCCCTGGCCTTGGCTGTTTGGTTCCTACTGCTGCTCCATGGCTTTCCCGGTTTCCCTGGTCTTGGTTGTTCGGTTTCTGTTGCTGTCCCTTGGCTTTCCTGATTTTTTTGGTGGGTTCTTCCGTGCCTTTAGTGCTACCTTTTTCCTCCCTTTTTGGTTAGCTGTAGGGGGCGGTTGTGGCTGGCTGTTGGCCTCCTTTTCTTTCCTATTTATAGGGGAGTTTTGGGCTGTATGCAGTTTTTTGGAAAAAGAAAAATAGCCTAAAACCCGAGGGTTTCTTCTCTAGCTTGAGAGCTACTTCTTCCCTACTTGCTTCTTCTTCCAAGTCTTCTAACCCTTTCTTATCTCCACATGTTTCACTCCATTGTATCCTTCTTCTAAAAGTGAGAGTTGTGTTGGTTGGTCGATTTTTATTGGTATTTGCTGGAGGAGTTGTGGCGGACGTTGGATCCAAGTTGCTGTGGTGGACTACTGGTTTGTATGTCCTTGAACATTCTATTTATCTAATTTATCGTTACATGTGAGGTGACCACTAGCTGGTTGTTTTGAGTGTATTTTCTTTTGATTTTCTTTCTTCTTATAAAACGATTTCAGTTTGTTTAATGTTATTTGGTGATTTGCTTACTAAAGTTTTGGATCGAGTCGTATTCTACTTTCTTTTGTGTTATCCATTTGGCTTTAAACTTTCTAGTTCCCATCACTTCTACCATCTTCAAACTAGTTTTAAGACCTGATGACTCCTTCATAGACTTTGTGACTAATTGAGATCTTGATGCTTGATACTTGATGGTGCTTAGAAAAAAAAATTTATAAAGGTATGATGTTTAATACGGAGAGCCCTCATTTGATGGGGATATTGTTATGACAAATAAGAGTATTAAGTTTTGTAACACATCAAATAAGTGAAAATTTTGTTGGTGTAGATGTCATATAAGGTGGTTCATGTGGTTTTTGGCTTCCATGGGTCCCGGATGCTTCTATTGTTGTTGAGATAGATTTAAGAGCGGGTGAATTTGATGTATGCTCCATGTAGTTGATGATACCAAAAAAATAAAAAATTTGTTTTAGGAATGATAACCAATGCGGAGATCACTCACTTGAGTAGGGAGATTGATAGGACATGTGAGACTGTTTTGTTTAGTCTCACATCGAAAAAGTTAAAAATGTTGATTTGAAAGTACGAAGTGTTTGACCCTCTCTCATAGACTTAAGCAGTTGCGTTTTAAATAGGTTGGACTATTGGGTGTGTTATGCCCAACTTTGATCACCTTTGATTCACTTCTTAACATGCTCTTTGTATAAATAGCCATGTTGTCACTATGCTTTTAGAGTTTAAAGCCTACAAAACCTTGTGGTCATAGTGATGGCCATTAATGTAATTACTTTGATATGCATTCCAATGCTGACAGACAAGCATAGTGCTTTTAAATGTTATTTCTTGTAGCCATAATTAGTTGTTTTGATTGTAACCTAGATATTTACTTCACGTTTGAATTTAGGAGTGCCAGTTGTTTCACGCTTATGATTGTAGTTTCCTATTTCCTTGATATATATGCGGCAGATAAACGAGGATGCAAGTGATAAGGTTTTGGAAGTGGAGCAGAAGTTTAATGAGATACGCCAACCTGTCTATAAGAGAAGAAATGACATCATTCAATCTATTCCTGACTTTTGGTTGACTGCTGTACGTGGAATGCCATAATTTAAATTGATATTTGATTTAGAGATGTGCTCTGCTGGCGGCTGCTTGATCATTTCTTGCATGCTCTATTCTTTGCAGTTTATGAGTCATCCGGGGCTTGGTCAACTTCTTAGCGAAGAAGACCAGAAGGTAAAAACATGTTTTTTATTTTTTAAATTTGTATCAACTTGTTTAATTTAAAACTTTCTATGCCATTTTTTATCTCATTTTCTCATTTAATTGAATTGCTTTGTCTCCGAAATTTCTGAGTTTTAACTTATTTTTTTGCATCAAAATAGATTTTCAAGTACCTGTCATCTTTAGATGTGGAGGATTCTAAGGATTTAAAATCAGGATACACCATAACCTTTGTGAGTTTTCAATCTTACCTGTGCTAAACGCACAAGTTTCAAGATATTTGGTCTTTTGCTTGTTTTATACTAATTCATAACTAACTATTTTGATTTGACGATGTGCAGAACTTCAGCAACAATCCATATTTTGAAGAGACAAAGCTATCAAAAACGTACACCTTCTTTGAAGATGGAACTACTAACATATCTGGAACAACTATCAAGTGGAAGGAGGGAATGGTAAGTACAATTTTTAATAAATTATGTCCTCATCCTTTTACTGTTTATTATAACCTGTTTTTTTTTTTTAAATGTTTGAAGGGTATTGCCAATGGTGCTTCCCATGAAAAGAAGGGGAAGAAGCGCCCTATTGCTGAAGAAAGGCTAGTTTTATTTTTCCTTCTCTTTAGTTTATTAAATGCATGCATCCAATTATTATCGTAGTAGTCTATCCAATAGTTTGATTGGCACTTTATTCTTGAAAAATCATACTTGTTAATGACGAATGACGTACCACGACGCAAAGTTTAAAATGACGCACTATGCGCCATAGCTCCACATGGAGCTTTGCACCGTGGTGTGCCATTCGCCGTTGACAAGTATGAGTTCGTGCTTGAATCACCGTGTACTGTGGGTAGAATGGAGGATGATATCTATAAATATGGTCATCAAATTTGTTAATAGGCATATGGACCCTTTCACGAAATTCATAAAATTATGAACAAATCTTAAAGCATTTGCTAAGATTTAATGATTCATCAACGATCACACCTCACACCAATCTTAGATTGTGCTAATTACCTTATTCATTTTTAATCTTTATTATTGATCGGAGTGCCATTGGTTCTTTGAAATGATAAGATTTGTAAGTTAGCTCTTTGGCCTTTTGTTGAATGTTTGCGCTGTGACTTGATCAATCTAAGAAGGATTTAATTACATCGACACATGTTGTGCTATAGCTTGATCTTAATTGCATGTCTGGGCTTCAAAAGATGTCTAGGACGCTGCAGTAGAGAACTGAACATAGTTGACTAATAGGCTGTATAGGTATGTGGGAATCAATGGAAGACATATTTAGTGTGTAAGGCTCAAATATTTCCCCTGATAGGAATGCGATTCAAAATAAGGTTTATTTTAATTATGGGGGTCATTATTTCTCAAAGGAATAAGCTCTAAGATTAATTACATTTTAAGCTTGTTTGAGAACGCTCTCGATTAAGGAGTCAATGCTTGTATTCAAATTGGGTAGAATGAATGAATGTCTGATTAAGCTAAAGCTAGAATGGACTTTGTAAGGCTCTGTAAAGGATGGAAATGGGGAGGATGTCTAAAATGATGTGAAAGGAGGATTTGTGATTCCTCAGAGAGCTATAGGAGATTGGATGTACAATGCCATATGGAGACATCTATGCGTGAAAAAGGAATGAGTGGATATAAGAAAGTTAGGACTATCCTATCAAGTGGGATGATGCTCTCGATTAAGTGGTTCCATCTTTTCAGTTAATCTATTTAGTCTTGTGACGAGGATCTTCATTAGCAATCATTGGTTAACATTTGTAAGGGAAACTTGCAAACCAAAGGTATGGACCTAGTCTTAGTATAACAGATGAGAACTACACTCTTCTATGATGAGGGAGAATCCTACGTTGAACTTATAGTACCATATTTTGGTATATGCCAAGGCTGACAATACTTCTTAGGTTTTAAGTTTGTTGAGCAAGAAAGGTGAGTATCTTCTCTATATGATAGAGACGACACCCAAGATGTGACTTACAGCTTGATTGTATAGCATTAAGAAGCAGAGCATACTTTTCCAGGATCATAGATTGTTGGAAAAAAATTAATAATAAAGAACCACTTTGTTGACAAAAGAAAAAGAACAATCAAAGAGCCACACCTCATTTAAAAGGGTTTGTACATCGTGCCTGCATTCTTTTTGCAATCCATTACCATCGTTTCAAAATTATTTAAGAATGAGCCCTAAAGTATCGTCTTTGCAGGCCTTACCCGCATCACAACCCACTAAGAATAAGTCATAAAATAGGCCATCCTAAGGTAAGATTCTTTCAAGTTCGTAAGATCACTCTATGAAGCAATCAACCCACTTGTTAATTGATTTTGGACCAAGTCCGAGCCCAAGAAGGAATAGGCTCATTGGGCCAAACCTAATGTCTGACCCACTTAACATGATATATGTTAAAATGAAGGACCATCTATAGATTGACATGGAACAAGCTTCCTACACATAAGAATCAAGTTTTATCTACAACGATTCACATTTTTGAGGGTCAACTCATGATATCTTGATTTGCATCTCCAAAACAATGACGACATTGATATTTTGGGGGCGGTTGTTGGTTGATAAAAGCGAGCTTATTAAACCCATAGATTTGAAGGACTTAAGACTTATGAAATGATCTATGTCACCCTCCTATGAAAGTTATATTCTTTTGGGTTGTTTATTACAAAATTCAAAAATAAGGTGGCAATTGAGACATCCTTATAAAACTATAAGAACCAATTAATCCCATTCTTCTTGATTCTGGTGCCAAGATTAATGCTTCTGCAATCTCTATGCAATGGGAGTAGAACGAAGCAACTATGGTTCATTCAGAATGTGTTGAAGCCGTTTTATCAAATTCTCAAGATCAATTATGGTTCTTTTAAGATGTGTTAAAGCCCTTTTATCAAATTCACAATATGAACATATATTCGAACATGGATCTTGGAAACTAATTGTAGTTCATCCTACAACGTAATTCCGAGCATTTGCCAAACATCTCAAATCTTGAGGACTTATCCTCTTATCCATTACCTCTACGGTAAAGTGGCATGGATCTTGAAAATTTGCTTTCTTTCTTCTTAAAGCGCGAGTTAGTTGGGAGTTCAATATATCCTTTAGCCATGGGAATTTTCATCTAGTACAGAACTTAAAAAAAAGGTGTCTTCTTTATCCATTATTCATCCAGGAAAAAACAATTCATTGCCCTTCATCCTCGTATTTATAAATACTCCCTTGTAGGGAAACTAGAATGACTTAAATCTTATTTTCTCCTTTTTAAGTGAGGGGGGTTGTCCTCCGAGCTTCCCTTTTTCATTCCAATGGGGAGATTTCACTTGGTTTCAGTTCTTATCCACCTACAATCTCAATTGCTAACTTGTGCATGAAATGATCTTTACAATAACAACATCAAGCTTTTATCCCACTATGTGGGGTTGGCTACATGAATAATTTTTCTTCATTGTGTCATGCTAAGAGTGAAATTCTTATTTAAATATAATTTAAAAAAAATAATTTCTAATATTGTCTAACAAAAATAATTTCTAATATAATTTAAATTCTCATGGTCAACCTCTACATTTCTTATGAGAGGCCAAATCTAATATATCTACTCTTCTAATCTGGTCATTGGAAGGCTAACGTTTTATGTGACCAAACTATTTATAAGGCGACTCTCTAACAGAATTCTTTATAATCTGGGCTAGCTGATACTTTATTTTCTTAGCTTCCTTTTAGTTCTAGTCATATTGATTTATTGTAAATCATTTTTTGGTATTTTAAGGACTCAAATCGGCAATTAACTCTTTTATGTGCTTATAAATATGATTTTATTTACTGTTTTATTGAAAAAAAATGTCATTCATTCTGATCTTATTATTATTGCAGTTTTTTTAGCTGGTTTGATGAAACCCAAGTGAAAAGTCTCTCAGAGGGGATTTCTGACGAGGTTAGTCAGTTTGCTGCAGTAGCTACCTACGGTAGTGGATTTTAGTTTTTTAGAGTTTTGTAGCATCGTGAAACCCCAACTTTCTCGCACAACTTCTTACACCTAAACTCTGTTCCCTAATATCTGCGCTCGCAAATGTTTAGGTGGCTGAGATTATAAAAGAAGACCTGTGGCCTAATCCGCTCAGGTATTTCAACAATGTAAGTTTTCTTGATCTTTTCCTTTGCTCTTTTCTCCGCAGGTTTTTTAGCTGCATCATATGATTCCCAGTTGATGTTTATACAACCTTTATAAGCAATTTCTTCCCTTTTTACAGGAAGCTGATGAGGAAGATTTTGAAGGAGATGAGGATGACGATGAGGTTGGTGACTTGTTTCATTGTGTACTATTCTGTCGTTTAATCATTTTATGTTAGAATATAATAATAGTTTGTTGGATTCTATGAAATGTCATTTTCCTGAATGAAATCGCCATTTCTGATTGCCCAGCTAGAATTGCAAAACAATGTCAATAAATTCAATTCACCATTGACTGCCGTTTGATGTTCTTTATGATATTTTTCAGGATAAAGGTAGTGATGAAGATGACGACGAAGATGATGAGCAAGAAGATGAGGATGATGAGGATGGCAACTAAGCGAAGCTGACATTCTTAATTGCAGTTGTTTTGTGTTGTATTATTGCAGAAGGAATTCCCACGGATGAAGATTTCTGCAGCCAATCCATGAGTTTTCAACCGACTTTACCGGATCCATTATGACAGTCTTGCTAGCTATTTTTGTATTGTGTTTTCAAATTATTGGGCGTTACCGCAGGCGGTTCTATCATCTTCTCTATCATGTCTTCACCGCTTCGATGAATATTGTTCTGTTTTGGCAGTTTTTTGTCATTTTTAAAATTTCAGATGTTGTTTGGATTTTACATCACCTAATATATTGTTCATTATCTCATCTTTTATGGATGTTATTCTAATTGTTTTTATATTATAACCATTCTTAAATCATATATATATTTTTAAATTCTGCCACATATGAATATTTTATTTAGTTTTATTACATCTGTATAAAATCAGAATAATAGGATTTAAACTTTGGTTTCTTTATTAGGTTTAAATGAGAATTTGACTTTTAATAGAACACAATGGAGAAAAAGGATTCATGTAGCCGACCCCACGTAGTGGGATAAAGGCTTGATGTTGTTGTTGTTGTTGTTGTATAAAATCAGAATAATAGTGAGTATAATTCATAAATCATTTCTGAAGCTAATGCAATCATTGTGTAATCAGAATTTTTAAATAAGTATCGTTCTAGAAGATGTATCATATGTTAGAAATTGGATCTCATCAATCATCTTCGCTTAGTGCAATTATTTGAAGTTTAGATTTCCGATTTTTGTCAGCTTTTGTTCAGTCTTTTTGTATATTTATACATGTAGCTATGGTTCCAAACATTCAATGGGTGGGAGCTATCGGGTGAATTAGCTTTATTATTTGTAAACTTCTCTCCATAATATACTTCCCATTGCTATTTAGAACATTCCAAACTGCTTTTAGAGCATTTCTAACATTCAATTTTAGAATTTGGCATCTGGCTTGACAAGTCTATTTCATAGATTCGTGCAAATTGAAATTGATTACTTTCACCTTATATGTACTTCATAATGTCTTATCAACATTTGAGAAAATAATCTTTGTAACTCAAGTGTTCTACTTACTAATATTGGAACCAATCTAATTAAAATTTAGCTTTTGAACTTTCTTTTTTAAATAAAAATTCATATGACACTATTTTTCATGTAATGAGGGGGATTTTGTTGAAAATATTGCTCTTTATTAATATAATTATTATAACTTACAAGGAAAGAATTATGACTTATAATGATTTGTGGTATAAATTTATATAAAAGAAAATTATAATAATTTGAAATGCTTGAAATGCAAATATCAATCTATTTTGAATTGCCTAGATTCTCTGCTTACACAACTCTCCTTGGTCTATTGGTTGAGAGCTTAGGCTTCTAACTAAGAGGTTCAGGGTTCGAGTCTATGTGTATGCGTTGTGTGTGTGAGTTTGCTTTAAATGGCCTAAATGTCTAAAAAAAAAATTGCCTAGATTCTCTGCTTTAATATTTGTAAATTTCAATGATTAAAATAATATTTTAATTTTCGTCATTTTTTTGGCCATCCAAAATGCTGAAAAATTGATGGTAGCGTATCGTACGGTCACAAATGCAAGATCTTGGCGGTACACAAATTGATTACAAGTTTTGGGTTCATAGTTGGGCTGCTGCGGCCTATTTGGCCCATTATTTGCTTCGGCCGTCAGGGTTAGGGCTTTTTTTATCGGGAAGGGACGAGCATTATAAAGATAGCAAATCTCCGCCTCCGTTTGCGCCTCCATCTCTTCCATAAGGTAGACGGCTTCGGAGTTTAGTTTTTCGTAGCAGGAGAGTTAGCCATGGTTAACGTTAGCTTCTACAGGAACTGTAAGCATCTTTCTCATTATATCTGCCCTTCGATTATATTATGCTATTTCCTCACTTTCCATTTTCTTCCTACTAATCTTGGATGATCTGATTTCCGACGCTCCATTCTATGTTGCTTCCTTTTTCTGTTCTCCCTTATTTAGAATGATCTTAGGTTTTCCCGAATACGCTGAGTTGAGATCTGATGTCCTCCCTGCTTTTGGGATTTCAAATATCTTTCTGACTTTTCATTGAGATCCGGACGTTTGATATTGCGTGTTTTTGCTTCATGGCATATCAATGGATTGCCGATCAAGTGCCTGCAAATAATTTTTTGATTTGTATCGCGAAACTTTTCATTGATTTGGTAAAACGGCGTGCTTTTTTTTCGTGACATTTAGATGGGAAGACTTTCAAAAAGCCCCGTCGTCCGTACGAGAAGGAGCGGCTGGATGCGGAGCTTAAGCTGGTTGGGGAGTACGGACTGAGGTGCAAGAGGGAGCTGTGGAGGGTTCAGTATGCGCTGAGCCGGATCCGTAATGCAGCGAGGGAGCTCCTGACACTTGATGAGAAGAACCCTAAGCGAATTTTTGAGGGTGAGGCTCTTCTTCGCCGGATGTTTAGATATGGGCTGTTGGAGGAGGGTCAGAATAAGCTCGACTATGTCTTGGCTCTGACTGTCGAGAACTTCCTCGAGCGCAGGCTGCAAACCCAGGTCTTTAAGTCTGGAATGGCAAAGTCCATTCACCATGCCAGGGTCCTCATTAGGCAGCGCCACATTCGGTATATATGCTTTGGTTTTTATAATTTAAACATCGCTTTGTTTCTTTTCGGGATTATTTCCTCTCCTTACCTGAGGTAGTTTGATGCTTAGTTGTTTTTTACGCCTTTCAGTCATCCGATATCCACATGATCAATATTCTATTTGATACAAACTTGACATGCTCCGTACTAACTTTAGGATCTTCTGTCATTCTTCCTAATTTCCTTAATGAATCATTTATATTTGACTTAATGACAAACATGCATGATCACCTGCGTGATCCTTACTTTAGTCATGTTCATTTATTGGTGTTCTGCATTCATAATGAGTTGAATGTATGCTAATTCTCTTGCATTGTTTATATTTTATTACTCATTTAGCATTTTTATTTCAACAATTTTTTCTGTCACCCTTCCAAGTTATTGATTTTTACCAACCTTGGTTGTGAGTGCTTTTTGCTTCATTCGCCTTCTTTTTCCTTCACTTTATTTAGCGCTACTCTTTTTTCTCACTTTATAGTTTTGACAAAGATCCGCCTTATTGTTATCATTCACCACACTTAATATTGCTATTATTAAGTTTTTTTATTGAAGTGAACTCGGAACCATTTTGTTAGTTGGTCTTAATTGCTGTTGTGAGAAATTTAACATGAAATTTCATCATTTCATTTTCGTTTTAACCATTGGACTTTTGTTCTGGAAGTTCTGTTTTTTTTTCTTGTAGAATAAATTCAAGGTATTAAAGCCTATCATATTTGGGGACTATTTGATATTCCAATAATATTGACTTAGACTTTCCGATTCCACAAATTCTAAAGTTACGTTTCATCTACTGTCTTTGTTTGTCTAATCATGCCTCTTATCTTTCGAACATTTCCTTGTTCTATTTTTTCTTCGAAGGTCTAATGTTTTCATGTAAAGTTATAAAACCTTATGTCACGTTTCAAAGATGTCAGATCTTCAGTTTTTGAGTTCAACTTGTTGTTCTATGCCAACTTTGGGGTCAATTGTCAAGAATTAAATCATTGAATATCATAGTATAATAATGTAATTAAAATTTTAATGCCAAAAACAAGAATAGATTATTGAAATTAAGTGTCTGCTTTAGGATTTTTATTACTATTGTTGCTCCTATTCCAACTATTTTTTTGCTTGGTTTCATATCATGAATTATGGCATCATGTGAGCTTGGTTATTTATATTTAATTTACTATATAATATAATAAAATTTCCCCACGTAGTGGGATAAAGGCTTGATGTTGTTGTTGTTGTTGTTGTTTCATATCATGAATTACGATGTAAATTTTATGATTGACCATTGACCTAATAGTAATCAACAACATATTTTTATTTTTTATCCAAGCTTGGAGCAACATTTACAATCTAAATAATTAAAGTTTGACATCAATTTTAAAAAAAAAATTTATTAGAATTTTAGTAATGTAGTTGAGATTGAATGAAGCAATCTTCATCATAATTATACTTATTCTATCTATTTGGGGTTAGCTTCAAGGATTCATTCTTTTCATGCATTTACATTTAGTGCTTATTGAGGTCAAAACCATTTTTTCACAAATTAATTAAAATAACATATATTCATGTTATTTTAGATCTATCCTTTTTTTTAATCATTTGTTATTAATTTTATTCACTTGTTTATTGTGTGCATTTTGAACCTTTCGATCTAACGTCTATTTTCAAATATCTTTAATGGATATAAATGATATTTAATTATTCCTCTAATTTAATTTTTTTTAAGGTTATTTTTCATAGTTAAATCACCAATCTATCTCAGCGTTATTTTCTTAGTTAAATCACCAATCTATCCTAACGTTATTTTCTTAGTTAAATCACCAATCTATCTTAACGTTATTTTCTCCGTGGCACTCAACTTGGATATAAATGAGTTATGAACAACAACAACAACATCAAGTATCACGCCGCAACCTATGCTCCATAACTCGCTCCCATAGTTTTAAAGTATGACACATTAACTTAATACCTCTATAATTCGCACAATCTTGTGCATCACCTTTATTCTTAAAAATAGGAACAAATGAACAACTAGATCCATACAATATTGATGGCCTGGTTTTGATCTTCGGAAAAATTTACTTTTGAATTTGTATGATATCCATCATTTTTCACATTGTATCCTTGAGTCACTTCTCCATTTTAACCAAACATACTTACGCAAGAAATCTTGTCCGCATTCATATCCTTATTCATCTATGTAATAGATTTATGAAACTTAAATCTGTCATACCTAGTCATCTTTTCTTTATTAATAATTGTTGATATCACATTCGCTAAACTTTTGTACCATATACTCACTGTTTTCTCTATTAATTAAATACCCTGAATAATTTCTAAGTTATTTTAGTTTTTCACTTGTTTCAGCATGTCTCATTTGATATAACTACACCTTGTACAAAAAGCGCACATCAAGACATCTCTCTTTAATTTTATTTTATATGTATATGCATAACTATTGCAAAGCAATATGAATTCAATGTTCATTATTAATATAGTTCTATCATACATGGAAACTCTTCAAGTACTCTACTACTAATTCTAATACTTGCAATGCTCCATGTTTTAATAATTTTGACAAGTATTTGCCACAAAATTTTCATTCTTAATGCGTCCAAATCAATTGTAATAATATTCAATTATATGATTTCCAAAATCAATTAAATTATATAAAGATCATGCACCTGCTATTTAGTTTTTTCAAAATTTTAACAAAAAAATTGTGTATATAGTAGATTTTATTGGTAAGGAAAAACATTGATTCTTCAAAATCCGATGTAATTTTTAATGCCAATGTTCCATCACTTTGTGCCATAGTCCATAGGTTCTTTGTATGATTCATTAGTTTGATTACTCTATTGTTAGCATAACCTTGATAATCTCATTTGTTTTTAAGTATTGATATTTAAATGCTTTCTTTTCAATCATTTGATTTTTTTGTCTTTATAATTCAATTAAAAATGTTAATCAAACTACTATAATACCCCTTATATTTTTCAAAGTATCAATGGATATTTCATTATGCATATCACATGATTTTTATTTTTTTATGATCATTATAAACATATGTTGCATTAGTTTTTTAAAATCACATTTCTTTTTCTTGATAACTTTTGGTGTTTATGCACTCTGCCATCACACCAGCCTTTTTATAAATGAAAGCTTTAGCCTTTAGACTCTCCTAAAATGTATTTGCAAATCTTCTTAATGAATATGGTAATTGTACTCCATATGAAGTTTATTTGAACCAAGCAGTTCCTATTTGCCTCTCATAGCAAACTATCTTGAAAAATAAACAATTTATCACCTTTAAAGTTTACCCACTTTATCATATGTCAATCATATCTTTGGATAATTTTTTTTTATATTCTTAACATACATATCCATGTTTACTACTCTTTATTGTGTTGTTAGAGTCTTAACTAGAATCATCTTGCAATATTTGCAAGAAGTTTTTTCCTTCTAAATAAAAATTTTATGTGATTTGTTTACTCTAACTTTGTAATTACAAAATATTCTTATTTCTTAAAATTTGTGTTCACTATTGCAAGATAATAAGCTGCTTTGAAATTATATATAAGTTATTTTGTTGCATTTCTATCTCCTATTTCTTTCTACTATGATTCTTCTTTTATCTCATCATACTAGAACTTATGAGCTCAATTGAATCATCTCTAATAAATTTTTTCCCTCAACTATACTTGCTGTTCTCCCATTTTTGACCAAAATATATTTTTTAAACTATTTGTTAATTGAACTTGGGGAGCATAAGTACTAATCACATTCATAAGATCCTCAATAATAATAATCTAGTAACAATCACCTATCATTAACCCTATTCACCTTGTTTTATATTTCTATTTCTTATCCACTATTATCTTAAACTTCATTCTTATTGTTAACCTTTCCAACATGCAATAACATGCAATCTTCTCAAATGTTCTTGGATTTATCTTCTCAATTTGGCTATTTGTAAACAATCAATGCTTATTTTTATTGTTTTTTCATTTAAACTCAAATTTAATGTTGGAAATCTAATCTTATGATTATACCTTGTCAACCCTTATAGATTTTTCACCACAATTGGGTTAAGATAAGTCATTATTTTTGGGGAATGCTATAGTAGTAGTAATTATCAAGGTTGTGAAAACCGGACCGGACAACAAACCGGAAGAATGAGAGGTTCATGGTTCGACCGGTTCGACCGGTCGAACCGGGGTCGAACCGGATGACGTAATAAATAATAATATAATTAAAAGTAATAAAATTAACATAATAATAATGACAATTTATTCTTAAAATTTTTATAATTCTAAGAGTTTTTAGACTAAAAAATAAACAAAATTCATAAATATATAATATATTACATAATTTTAAAATTAAATATAAATAGTTATTATATTTATGTTATATATTTAAATATAAATAATTACTAATTTTAAATTTAAATATAAACATCTTCAATCTTCGATTTTAATTTAGTTGTTTAGTCCCACATCACTTAGGAGTTTTATGTTGTGTTGTTTATATACCTTTCTTTGTACCCATGAGTTAAGAGCTCTCATGGTATTATGACATCATGTAAGCTAGATTATTTATATTTAATTTAATATATAATATAATAAAATTTTTGGAATTATTTTAATTAAATAAAATATATGTTATTTAAATTAATTTAATATTTATTTAAACATTTTATATAAAAAAATATTTAAATATATTTTTAGTTGAACCGGCCGGTTCTTAAGAAACGGACCGGTTCAACGGTCGGCCGGTTCAACCGGCGGTTCAAACCGGTTTTGACCGGTTCGTTGCCAGCCCGGTTCTTAGGGAAGACCGAACCGGTTTTAAGACCGGTTCACGGTTGAACCGGTCGAACCGGCCGGTCCGGTCCGGTTTTCAAAACCATGGTAATTATTCAAATTTAAATTCATTTTATTTGTTTTGATGTTTTGAGACAAGTATTATGAAAGGTTGTCAATCAACAA